ACATGTGATTAGGGGGCATGTAATTGTATTTTGATTTATATACGAGTTTGGAAATCTGTTTTATTTTTAAATAGTAAAAACTGAATTTACAAGTTTACGTGTTCTGATAAAAAGTTTTAAATTTTCCGCTATTTTTACAGTGGGTCACTCCGGTGGCCCTAATGTGACTTCCCGGATCGGATCGGGCTACCCGTATCGGTCTGGGGGTTATATTTAGTGGTATCAGAGCTATGGTTTGAGTCAAAATTTTCAAGTTAGACCGGCCGGTCGAATGTCAAAATATGTCTGATCAGTACATGCACCTAGACTGTGATCATACCTCTCTGAGCCGGAACTCCAGGGTTGAGTCCCTATCTGTAACGAATAAACTGAAGTTTCTATCCGTTAAGGTTATACTTGTACAAAAAGGAATACTAGTAACATATGTCTAAACGCTGTAAAGTATCTCATGAGCCATGTGAGAGTTATTTATTTGAAAGATTCTGACTTGACTCCGGAAATTAAATTGGGATATGCTACTGCTCTATGAGCATATTCTCATGACCAAGACTGAATTGATTACTCAATGCCATTTTCGTTCGGATTATTTTATTGAAATGAGAGAGAGTTCTGATAAGAATGTATACTCAACTGGTTAAGGATTAGTGGAGAATCCGTATTTCTATAAAAGCTACTCGAATATATGGAAGAGTTGATGAAAGTTTCATTTCTACAATTATGTGACATGTATGAATTTCGAGGACGAAATTCTTTTAAGGAGGGGAGAATTGTAACATCCCAATTTAGGGGCTAAATTTTAAGAAATTATAAAGTGGTGGATTTAATTGGTATTTTTGGAAGGAATCGGGGATTAAATTGTAAGATTTCAAAGTTGGCAAACCGTTTTATGAAGTGCAGGAAGTTCAGTGGCTAAACTCTTGGTTTACCCATTGTTTATATATGTTGAATTATAAATCTCTTCTCCTCGTGCGCAGATGCATATTTTCCAGTTTTGTCTTCTCCAACTACCCTCCTTTCAACTCCGATCTACTCGCCGTCCGACCTCCGATCGACGAGCCGAAACCACCATCGTGTTCGTTGTCAACCGAGGAACAAAACCCCTCAAACCTTTCGTCGTGAATCATCGTCGTTCGTCGTGAATTTCAGTCGGAAGTATCGTCGATAATAACTCGGTTTTAGTTGGTTTTTCATCGATTCACGACGATCGGGTCATCCGTTTACGACACCTCCTGCACCATCGTGTTCGTTGCATCGTTCCGAGTTCGCCAGTGTCATCCTTGGTCTCCGTCGACGGCGGCGCGTGAGGAGGTGAAGCGGTCAAAGTTTCCGATTTGTTGAAATCGAGCTCTCCGCCGTTCAAATTATGAACCGAGCTTTGTAAGTATCTCGAAATCGCTCAAAATAATTTTTAGAAATTTTTCCGGGATTTTAGCACTGTTCACGCGCCCCCACAAGCTGCCACTGCGCGTGGGGAAGAAAAAAATGACCGGTTTGATCGGTTTTGGTGCATAGTTGACTGGTTTGACCGGTCACAACCCGACCCGACCCGTTGACCCGACCCGTTGACCGTTGACCGTCGTTGACCACTGTTGACCAAAACTTTGACCGGCTTTGACCAGGCATTAAACGACCTTTGACTTCGACCGAGTATACCTATCCTAACATTTTTCGACATTCCAAATCCAATTTCGCTGTCCGTTTTTCGAAATTCGAACCCGAAAGCCTCAAAATTGCCGGTCAAACCCGTTGACTTTGATTTTGACCGAAAATTCCAAATTTCTGAAAAGTCATATTTTATGCTTTCGAGATCCTGAATCCGAATCTGAAGTCCGTTTCACCAAATTCAAACCCGGTAAGCCATCTTTCACTGATTTATCACCCGATTCGATCCATTTATCGTAATTAAGCTCCGTTTCTGATATAATTTATGTTGATATGTATCTTAGGAATTATTGGAAGTTGAATTGAAGATCAAAGGCGTGCGAATGGAATTTTTATGGTCGATCAGTATTGCACGGAAATCGAGGTAATACTTTACTACCTCTTTATGCTTTATAGAACATGTTGGTATTGGTAAATGCATGAATAGAAATGTTTGGTCTCATATGTGTAATTAATGAAGTTCTACACTCGATCTGAATACGGTAAAAAGGTTCAGTAATTGATTATGGTTCAGATGACTTTTATAAGAAATTAAGGGATTGTTAGAATTAAATTACAAGTTATGTGCTTAGTGATAAAGAAATCAACTTGGATCTGTAACTTATAATTTATTTCATCAAAGGTTAAATGTTAAAGGTATTTGGATGAGAAATTATGAGAATACTCCGGTAGGGTAAAATTATGAAAATACCCTTGAGTTATAAAAAGACAAGATTGGAATATGGAAGTTGGATAAGAGGTATTTACAGACATATTGATCTGATAAAAAAATATTGAGGTGCATAAGAAATGTTAGTTTTACTTGGATATTTTGGATAACCGGTTTTTAACCCTAGAAGGTTTGTGCAAGCTATTAGAAGTCTATTAAGGAATCATTTCAAGATAAGAGAATGTTCGGGAAAGCAATTGATCATAGGATCTCTAAATTATATTATTTTCGTTAAGAGCTAATATTGAAATTATCTGGTTAAGAAATTACGTAAATACCCTTGAGAGGTAAAATAGTCCTAGTTAACGCTGAATGAGAAAATACTTTGAGGATTCGTACTTAACTCGATTAAGTACGGATTTGATTGTTAAGATCCTGACTTAGTTTAGGAAAATTCATGATATTCCGTTTGTAAAATCTGAGATCGGATCGGATCGGATCGGATCGGGCTACCCGTATCGGTCTGGGGGGTTATAGCAAACATCTGGATCTTTCATTCAACGACCTGTTCATCCATTCCGCAACACCATTCTGTTGTGGTGTCTTGCTCACTGTAAAATGTCTCTTAATCCCATGCTCCTTACAGAAGTTTAGAAAATATGAATATGTGTACTTTGTACCATTGTCAGACCGCAAACACTTGATATTTTGTCCTGTTTGGTTTTCTACCTCAGCTTTCCACAGCTTGAACTTCTAAAAAATGTCAGACTTCTGTTTCAAAAAATACACCCAAACTTTACATGAAAAATTGTCAATAAAAGTAACATAATACCTAGATTCACCCAAAGACGATATCATGGAAGGCCCCCATACATCAGAATGTACATAATTAGGAATCCCTTCAATTTTGTTCTTCCCAGTCTTGAAACAAACTTTAGTCTGTTTACCAAGAACACAATACTTGCAAAAATCGAGCTTACAGCTTTTAACATCATGCAACAAATTTCTTTTTATGTAATTCAGCCATACCACGTTCACTAAGATGAGCAAGACGCATATGCCACAGTTTGGTAGTATCATCACAGGACTCAACAGAATGAACTCCACCTACAACGATACTCCCTAACAATCTGTAAATATTCCCTGCAGTCATCTTTCCTTTCATCACAATCAAAGCTCCTTTAGCAATCCAAATGGTTTCCCTATCCTCATCAGCCTTAGGGATAAAACCATTCTTGTGCAAAGTGCCCAAAGAAATCAAATTCTTCTTCAAATCTGGGATATGCCGAACACCACACAACGTCTGAATAGAACCATCATACATCTTAATTCTGACATCACCAATACCAACAATATTGCAACGTCGATCATCACCTAAATAAACGGAACCAGAATTAACCGACTTGTATGTCGAAAACCATTCCCTATTTGGCATGATGTGATAAGAACATCCAAAATCAAGAATCCAAGCATCCATCAATTGAGTCGTTGAAATAGAGAGCATATCACCCTCACTGCAATCAGAATTTTCATCCTCGACCAAATTCTCAGACTTGGATGAGTCATCACGCTTCTCATCAGTCTGCTTTTTCAACTTCGGACAGTCTCGCTTCATATGTCCCGCCTCCTTGAACTTGTAACAGTGAATTGTCTTCTTATCCCTAGATTTGGATCTTAAATTCAACTTCCCAGACCCTGCCTTCTCTGGCTTCCGTCCACGATCTCGATTACCCTTGACATATAAGCTATCAGTTTGAGAGCTTTCTCCTGCATTCTGCTTCCGCTTGTTGTGAGCCAACAAGGCTGCAGTAATCTCCTCAACTTTGATAGTCTCTTTCTCATATGTAAGAGTAGTCACCATGTGCTCGTAAGAGGGAGGCAACGAACATAACAGAATCATCACTTTGTCTTATCCTCATTTCACATCAAGCCGAGCCAAATCAGAAACGATTTGATTGAAAACATTCACATGTTGTGCCAAATCATGATCATCCTATATCTTCAGCCCATACAACCGTTGCTTTAGATACAATTTAGTCGTTAAGGATTTGGACATAAACTGACTTTCCAACTTCTTCCAAATTTCATCTGGAGAGGACGGATGCATGACGTGATACATGACCTCGTACGTCAAACATAATCGTATGGTTCTTGTCGCTCGCTGCTGCAATTCTTCCCAATCTTCCTCCTCTATCGACGCCGGCTTTGTAGGTCGCAAAGCCTTCAAGATCCCTTGTTGCCCCAACAGATCCTTCACCCTTGTTTGCCATAATCCGAAGTTACCCTGACCATCGAATTTCGCAACTTCGAATTTGACTCCTGACATATGATACCAACTGTTGAATAATTGGGTAAAGAAAACAGAAAGAACACAAGAATTTTAACGAAATTCAGCAATGTGCTTACGTCCTCGGTACCTTAGGCGGCGCAAGAATTTTTATTCAATTCAATGTCTCATAGGTTTAGGTTACATCTCCTTTTATAATAAATAACCCCCGGTACATATTTACAAAAATAAAAAAATAATAATGTACCCTCTACTACGAGACTTTCTCGATATATTTATGAGCTATAACTAACAATCTCTTTAATCAGATCGTTTAATTCATCGTGGTGGTCTACCCTTTTGAACATAAATGAAAGAAAAGGGAAACAGGGCAGATTCTTTATTGCAGTGAAAATGATATGGTGGCAGAACAATGCTTTCCTTTTGTCTATAATGAGCATATATTCCACTTCTTCTTTTAAAAAAGAACTAAAAGTAATGTACGGTATTTACAGATAAGAATTGTAATTTTGTTGCTCCCCCAAAATTGTAAACATTGTACCCTATGGACAGTTAAACTTTAAACCTATGAAGCTGTTCGAGGCGAACAGGGATCGTTGCGTCGAATCGAGCGCTCTGAGGGTTCTCGGCGTAAGCAACGTAGTATGCCGAAACACTCGCTTGTTGCCAGGCCAATGCTATCCGACACTGCCACACCAAAATCATTGTTATAACTTTCCATTGCTATTAAAAATGATTCGAATTTTATCATTGTAAGGTTTAATCTTTTACCATGAAATAGCCGATGAAGAAAGCATAGATGGACACTTCTGTAGCATAGCTCTTGTGCATTATGAGCTCCCATGTTCCTCCGATAATGCCGCTTATTGAACCGACCGTGACCCCGGAGAGAAAACAGAACACACCGGTGAGGTCGGAGTCGATCAATGTTATCAGTTCTTCTCTTTTGAACATTTCCCATATGTCGGCCGATGCCTGTATGAAGCCTTTGTTATAAACCCCTACATGAACAAAGCCCCAACGATTCCCATATGTTATGAGAGTTGAGGCAAATCCTGAGTAACAATCGGCACATGAGAACAGAAACTCGTCATTGTCCCCTGCAACCAAGTTCACGGCTCGGGCCGAACCACGGATTGTTCCGATAACCGGAACAAAGGCCGAGCCTATGCATACACTTCCCACTAAATGCTTGAGCGTGTCGCGGAAAGCCGACCGAGTGTCGGTATCGACTCCACAAGCGAAAGTCATGTATCTGACTCGTGAGATTGTGACATACAGCATGTTCTTTATCACTTGCATACTCCATGTGAAGCTGAGCAGGATGAGTACAATGAACAGGACGTCTAAGTCGGTCCCGGTGGCGGTTGCTCCTCCGATTCCGGCTACCGAGAACGAGGAGTAGGCTAAACAGGTTATGGTGGATACAATTACAAACGCAGTGGTTTTATCAGGTGGAACCGATGTGGAAACTTCAAGGATCTTGGACGCATAGTCAAATCTGGAGTTCACCCAACAAGCATAGAGGGATTGGATCACACCCGAAACGATCGCAATCGTACCGGCGGCTAAACTCAACGAAGAACCGATCAATATATGGAGCACACCGAGTGCACACGTTAGCAAGGGAGTCAACCAGAAGGCAGATTTAATGGAATTTGATGGATAGTGGAAGGCGATTGATTGCCATACAAAAGAAACAATCCCACCTGAAGCTATCGAAACAAGAAGTGGAGGGTACCATTGCTTCGGGTCAAAACGATCGGTACCGCCGGCGGCGTAGATAAGGCCACGGATTGTTAAGGCGATTATCAAGATGGAGAGTAAGAACAATTGGATGTAGAAGATGATTTGAAAGAGCTTCCTGAGCAACTGTCCACCAACTGTTGGCTCAATCTTGATGCTCGGTTCTTGTACCTGACAACCACTTGCAACAAAGTTAAAAAACCAAGATTTAAACATCAAGAACACAAGGTAAAGAAGAAGAAGAAGAAGGGGGTTTAAAGAAACCTTGACAATGGCTGTGGATTGAATTCTTTGTTCTTCAATCTGCTTACTGTTGTTGTTCTGCAGATTAGAGCCCCTAGCTCTGTCCATTTTGTGGTGATCAAAAAATGATTTTGATGAGTTTTAAATTGTTGGTATTCGTCAATTACTTAGCATCCACGATTGTGCGTGAAGCTGATGAACTTCAACTAATCTTTCTCAACTTTGAAGAGTTACTTGTTCAGGTAATATAATCATAAAATTATCAATTTGATATCGTTTAAATAATATATAAAGTTCGAGTCTTTATACATATAAAAATCTTAAAAAATTCATCTACTAAAATTAGATATAAAATGTTAATCCGTTTGGATTAATCAAGATGAATGCTTAGAACCAAGAGATAAGAAAATATATAATCATAAATCATGGGTTCACGCATTTTGATGAGTTGACCAACCCTTTTCCTCCCTTTTTCTTCTTTTACAATCTACAGGTTTTAAGTCCGATCCGTATTAAACTACCTCACCTAAATTATTAATATAATGTTGTTAAGCTAATACTTTTTGTTTAATTGTTTTTGCTACGGCTAGACTTAGATTGTTTGTAAGATGGAATAGGGATAAAACGAATGACGTGTGGAGACAGTCGCTTTGTAAAAAAATTTAAATTCTTTTATATTTTAAATTTTTTATATATTTTTTCGTGTATTTTTTTATTAATAAATTATTTTTATCTCTTAAAATTTTATAAATTAATTCTTCTCTTAATTTTATAAACTTATCTCTTAATATAAAATCATTCATACGTCTTTTGGATAGGTCACACTGTGGTAGGTTATTGACTGCACTTTTCCATGGGTTAGGTTATGGTCTCATTGAGTCATAATTTAAAAATTTTAAAGGTTTAATTTATAATTTGATTTTAAAAATATTATTATTTTAATACTTAAATTTATTATTTTATTTTAATATTTAATTTTTTCTATATATTAATTTATTTAAGAGATGAATAATCAATAATGTTTAAAAGAATTCGCTTATAAAATTACATTAGGTGGTACTTTTGACCATATCAATGCAATTGACTTTAATAAAAAAATATAAATATCATGTCAAATCTTTCAAGTCTACTTTTTTATTCGATGTAGTCTCTAAATATTCTTTGTATATTTAATTTTGAAATAAATAAATAAAATTATAAATATTGGTAAAATTGAAAATTAGAAATATTAATTTATCATGTTTTGAAGTGAATTCTAATAAAATAAAATAATTTTAGTTTTATCTTGTTCTAAAAAATTAATTTTAATTCTTATTTTTTAATATAATTATCACTAATTGATCTAATGATTGGCTAATCTAGAATAAGTAATGTAAACTTATTATGAGAATGATCTCTCAACTTAATTTTTTTTATCGATAACTTTAAAATTCAAACTTGTAATACAAAAACCGGTTAGAAATGTCACATGCATACTCTAATAGAGATAAAGATAATTTAATTAATGAATGAAAATATAAAAATATTTATAATATTATAATATCTTGATTATTAACTAAATAAAAAAAAACTTGAAAGAACTGACTGTGGTAATATAAAAAGTAAAAATTTAAGTGTAAATAATATTATAAACATTAAGTTTAAGTCAAATAATATTATAAAAACTAATAATAAGTTGATTTAGTGGGATAAAGTATTAAATTCCTTAAGTATGTTCATGGATTCGAGCCTTGACGTTTGTGAATAGAGCAAACTAGATTCAGAGGGTCGCTCTCGTCTTTGTAGTATTCGATATAAATTAATCGATCAATAAATCGGATAGAATTGATTAATTAAAATAAAATAATATTATAAAAAGTAATTGAGGTATTTTATTACCAATCATCATTGTCTTGTAACTTTTGGGCGTTATTTATTGCTTGAGAATCTCAATCTCCCCCGCTTTAACTTTTGGTCCCACCTAAGAAAACAAGAATTTCCTTCTCAAAGCACACATAACTTGTTTGGTTCAACAACTATCCAACTTTATTGTTCCATTGTCATCTCACTTTAAAAACGAAAGATGTTAGTTTACTCTTTGGCTTTCCCCTTTTGAAAAATTACAAATTAAACATATATTTTCTTATTTATTAATTTTATTGCAGGTTTGGATTATTGAGTCTTTATTAAACAAAGTCAAGAGGGGATGAATTGATCTTTAAAAATTTTAGGTACGGAGAAAATAAAGATAAATAATTTACACAAATATTTATAGTGGTTCGACTTTTAAACTAAGTCTGCATCCACTACTTTAGTTCTACACTAAGAATTTTCTAACAAAATCATTAATTTGTTATTTTTTTTCTAGGCTCAAGAGTAACATTTTACACTCTCAATATTTTCAAAGGCTAAGATAGAACCACTCCCCTTTTATAAAAGATAAAAAATGTAAACAAGGAAAATATCACAAGGTAAGTATTTACAAAGATTTAACTCACAAGAAAGAATCCTAAAGATTTACCATTAAGCCCAAAACACTTGTGTACAAAAGAAAGAGAGAAATAAGAGTGAACGGACTTTTCTCTTTTTCTCTATAGCTTGGATATGTGCATGTTATATCCTTCTTCAAGTGTTCTTGTGTTATTTGTATACGTTAGAATGAGCTTGTAACCGTTTCTAATCGTTGGAAACTTAATTGTTGCAAACTGAACTGCCCAACATATAGAGTATCAGTACTTCCTTTGTTATATTTAAAAATTTAATTGTTATTCGACCGTTGGACTAAACTAGTATCAATACGAGGGTTTGTGTTATCGTTACTCCTTTGAGTATCGATACCAATCTTGTATTCTAAAATTTGAATAACTTTAAAAATAACAGGTAGTATCAATACTACAAAGAGAGTATCGATACTTCTCTTATCTTTGGTATCACTACCACATGAACGGTATCGATCTTATTCATGTAATATCGATACTGTAAGAATAGTACCGGTACTACTTACTCAGAAAATTATTTTGTGTTCAATTAATTATTTAATGGACTTAGAATTATTTTTGAAAACTTTGAACAAATTCAATCAAGTCCAAAAATATTTTGCCCCTCATATGTTAATTATATCAAAATATTACAAAACAATATTCAACAATCTCCCTTTTTTTATATAACAAAACATTTGAAAATAATTTTTGGTAAAACTCCCTCTTAACAAAACATTTCTTAAAAAAATTAAAAATATTTAAATTTTCTTTTTTTCATTGAAAAATTAAAATTTTCAAACATATACTTCTCCTCTTTCTATTTATTTAGTATTTTCTATTTATTTAGTATTTATAATGATTTATTTTAATATATAATTTGCAATTTTAAAAAAATATTATATTAAAGCAACAATACATTAAAAATGGAGTAAGTCAAAACCTAGAAAAATCCGTAAGCAATTAGTCAATTATGGAGTTGGATCAACTTCTCCGTTTACATGAAATGTATGTTTCTTAAATAATTTTCTGGATAAATTACAGATTTAGTGCTTACGCTATTACTTTTATCTTGATTTAATACCTAACTTTATTTTTTTTTCAAAATCATACCTAATATTTAGTTTAAGTTTCTTTTTGGTATACCGATGTTAAAAACTTAACAATAATGTTGATGTGTCACCATAAGGTAATGTCATATCATCATTGGAAAAAAAGATGTCGCATCAACAGTTCTGTTAATTTTTTAATAGCGGAGTACCAAATTGAAACATAAACTAAATGTTAGATATGATTTTGAAAAGAAAAAAATATGTATTAAAACGAAATAAAAATAATATTTTAGATACTAAATGTGTATTTTGTCCTAATCTTTTTAAAGAAAAACAAGTATATGTATAATTGTAGAGCCACTTACCAACAATTTATTTATTAAGTTAAAGGTGATTAAAAAATATTATATGTTCTAAATACTCTCAACCATTAAAAAAATGAAAGATCAATCACCTTTGCAGTCGCTAGTGTTTGAACTCATGACTTCAAAGAACAACAACAATTACTTTAACCATTGAAATAAATTGATTCATGTCACTTATCGACAAATTGAGGGTATCTTTACCAGCTCTAAAAAGAAATGTGATCAAATGGTTTTGTACTTTATAACATTTAAATATATGCAGTTTAGCATTTGTGGGTGTGTGTCCATTATTAATAATTAAGAAATATTTTTCACAAATATAATTTTATAGTCACTTTATATTATTAAACAATATTTAAATATATAGTTAATAATTGTGCAATCAAGGATCTGATTTGGTTAACGTTTTCGACTCATTCATTTCTTTATGCCCAATTTTCATATAAAATGTTTATTTGTAATTTATTTTAAATAGTTTGGAATGATTACAATATAGTATATGTTCATCATTTTTCTTAATCATTGACAATACACATACGCCACATATACAATTGTTCGAACTCAAGACTTCTAGAAAAACAATAATTCTTTAATCGCTGAGATCGCTTGATGGGTTCACTTATAAAATCTATTTTAAAAATGGATGTTATTAATGTTGAGATGGGTCTTATAACTGCATACATGAATGAATTTAATAACACTTGGGGTCTCATCTTAAAAGTAGAATTTGATTAAAGATAGAATAGAATAATTACGCACTTTTCTTTATTTTTTTTTCTTTTTCTAAATTTCTGTTAGGAATATTATATACTATTCAAATACGTGAAGGTCACGTTTTGAGGGAAATATCTTCCTCAGATTCTTATGTTGGTAAATTATTTTTCACTCAATTTGAAGTGTATTTTTGTTTTTTTCATTCGATTTTAAAATTTTTAATGCTATCATTAAATTTTCGAATTCTTTCATTTGGTCACTCAACAATTAAGTGTTTAACGGCAACATCAAAATACTATGTATAACCCCCACAGACCGATAAGGGTAACCAGATCCGATCCGAGGTGTCACATTTGGGCCACCTGAGCGACCCACTGTAAAAATAGTGAAAAATTTAAAACTTTTATTGAAACGTGTAACTTATAAAATCAGTTGTCACAATTTAAAAATAAAACAGATTTTCAGACTCGTATATAAATCAAAATACAATTACATGCCCCCTAATCACATGTACCATACTCTGCAACAACGCCGGAAGAACTCCC